TATATATATATATATATATATATTGTGCAAGACAGGATTGTAAGAAGTGAATGCTGAGTAAATGATGACAGGATTTTCAGCTTTAACTGTACTCTCCCTTTAACACAGCCTGATTTACTGAATCTTAGAATCTTACTGAATTTACTGAATGAGTCTTACCTTTGGTGTTTTGGTGCATTTCCCCGTTCTGGCATCTTTAATGTAGCTGATGTCCAGCAGATCAGTTTCCTGAAAGCAGGAGGGGCAGAGTTGGTGTCACTGCTCACAAAAACAATTTCACGCTACAGCACACAATCAATATTATCTTAAATATCACAAAAGATGTCAGATGAGGTCACGGCGCATGTTGACAGAGAAAACACTGACGGAAAAATCAAGAATGAATAATTAAACACAGAGTCTAATTCACACGTGCAGCTGCTGCAGATCACAGAGAGAATCCAATGACAACCTTAAAAATACATTCCTGGGAAAATTACAAGTGGTGTAAACTAAAAATTCACTAATTCATTTTCCTTCAGCTTAGACCCTTATTTATTAGTGGTCGCCACAGTGGAATGAACCGCCAACTATTCCAACATATGTTTTACGCAGCAGATGCCCTTCCAGCCACTATTGGAACACCGATATCTTTCAAAGTACTGTATAGAAGTTAGAAATTCCAGCATTGTGACTTTTTATTCCTACTCTGAGTAGTGTTTACTCTACTTGCACTACATTTTTTGGCAGGTTATGGTACTTTTACTTGAGTATGATTTTTCAGTGCTCTTTCCAGCAGTGTAAATGATGCAGGCCAGAGCGGTCTGCAGTGTGTAATGAAGCGGCTGACAGATATGCTCTCTGACAGCAGAAAAGCAGAAACCCAAGCTGACGGCGCTCTGAGATACAACTCTGCTGGAACTAAACAAAGAGGCATTTGCTCTTTATACTCATTTATGCTTCACGGCAACCATTGGAGGATATAAATAGAGCGTCATTTCTATATCAGTAAACTCTGGATGCCCTCATCTGCTCCACAAACAATCTGTGAAACACGGAAACACGACATGTGAAGTGTCCTGCTGTGACATCCCTTATATATGTGGGTGTATGTGTATGTTAGAGCTGCACGATTCTGGCTAATATGAGAATTGCATTGTTTTTTTTTTTTTTGCCTAAAATAAACACGGTTTTCTCATGATTCTGTAGATGTAAAATAAAGGTCATGAGTGGTAAAGCAATAGGATTTGTGTAGCTGTACTGTTGGTTAAAATGCTCAATTTTGTATAGACTTGGAATGGTGGACTTGAACAGACTTCAGATTTGTCCTGGTCATTAATGCTGATGATAATTCCAACCCAAGCTCATTCTGAAAACGTAGCCCCGCGGACGTTTCAGGAGACCGCGATTTATGTGAATGGAGGTACGTATGGCTGCATTTAGTTTTTTTTAAGTGAACACTATGGGGCAGTGTGATGCTGCTTTTCTTCGCGCTCGCCGGCTGGGCTGACGGCTTGCCTCTGTGTGGAGGGCTTTCCCGCCGCAACCAGTTTGTCCGGTTAGCTCGTTGTGTTACGTAGGCGGAGCGGAGGCCCAAAGGAGGAGGAGCTGGCTGCGGCGCACGACCGGGTTCAAGTCCGGGGAAAAGTGGTTCCAGAAATCAATTAAGACCAAAAACAGAATCCAAAAAATAAAGCGAGCGAATTCGTAATGGGGCGAGAATGCGGCGAAATCTGAAAACGCGGTCAAAACCATACGATGACTTTTTTTTTCTGGACAGCTTTTGTAAATCGTTGCTTGGGTTTAAGGAAGAAGGAGGAGGAGGATGGTGGCTGGGTCGGCCAATTGGCCTGCCGCCCAGTCAATTGTTCAGTCATCCAGTCAGTCATTCAGTCGGACAGACGGTCGCTCGACAGTGGCCTCCGGCGGCTTTTTACCGGAGAACAGCGTGGGCGAGAATGCCACGTGCTCATAAAAGGTGTTCGAGTAGCGAAAAAGCACGCACAGCGGCCTCTCGCGGAAACAAAAATTGCAGAAAAAAGTACCTCCCGGGATGTATTTTGCCGTCTCTAGAAACGTCCATGGGGCTACATTTCCAGAGAGAGCCTGGGTTGGATAATTCTGATGTTGAGTTATTGTGTTTAAGACATGCTTACAATCTGTAATTTTCTGCTTAAAATCTGTCACTGACGTGATTTTCGTGAATACAGATGACTGGGTGGGTATTTTCTGCATTTCGGATGGTTTTGGAAACTTTTTGAGCTGGAATCAGTCAGCTACATCTGGCAACACTGTGTACGCTTTCGGTTGCATTTTCACTGCTAAGAACAGGTTACTTCCCGCACGGCTCCCAAACAATCCCTCTGTGCTACAAATTGAATGTTATTTACAACTTTATTACCTGTTATTCACAGCCTGTGCAGGTTCTGTTTGCTAAAGTAGACTTCTCTCTGTGGTAACAGCTGACGGTCAGCTCACGTCACGAATTTGCGGTCGCAAATACATCATTACATGAAGACAGAAATGACCTTTTTGGGGTGAATTATATCTTATAAATACAGCATGTGACTCTTTCAACCCCATTTGGAGGTGTCCCCGTTGCTGAACAACGTATGTAAAACAATATAAAGACTTGTGCAGCCACCATTGCTTCTTTCCTGAACTTAAAAATATGATTGGCAGAATCGTAGAAATGTTGGATTAAGATCGTCTAGGGCACAGATGTCAAACTCAGTTCCAAAAGGGCCGCAGCTCTGCACAGTTTAGTTCCAACCCTAATTAAACACACCTGATCAAACTAATTGAGTCATTTAGGCTTGTTTGAAACCTACAGGTAAGTGTGTTGGAGCAGGGTTGGAACTAAACTGTGCAGGGCTTCGGCCCTCCAGGAATTGAGTTTGACACCCCTGGTCTAGGGGGTCGAATCGAGATCGCGATCTTTTTACGATTAATTGTGCAGCTCTAGTATATGTGTGTACTAATAAAGTCTAAATGATTCACCCTCCTGTGATTTTTTTTTTCTTTTTTAATAGTATCCTAAATGATGTTTAACAGAGCAGGGAACAGTAGGTTGTTGTGTTCGGAAACATTTTTTTGTTGTGCTGGTTTAAAGTCTCTTCACAGTCCAATAGTACTGATAAAGTAAATGATCTAAATGTGTTTATATGTATTTTTATATTCGGTGTAAGAAATATAACAAAAACAATGTTCATCCAAATAAATATTGTCAGGCCGGCATCTCCCATAATTACGATAAGCAGCTAAAACTGTCAACAAATGTAGATTTAGACTTCCGCGCATCTTTGTTCATGCATATCCACCATTAGCGCATACATACCTGCATGAACGCGCACATTCACGACACGTGCACACGAGACAGTCACAGTCGTCGCAAAATCAAATGCTGAATTGAAACTTTTTAAAATACTGAATCAATGTTGGAGTTAGTTTAGCACGCTGGAGGAAGGACGACACCATGGCTTAAGTATTACTGTTAGACAGGTTATGTTCTGTTTTAGCACCCCCAAAGATGATGTAGAGTGTGTTGTTATGAATGACTTATATGCACAGAAGTGTTGTTCAGCCACTGAAATCTTCCGGTGAAAGACTAATGTGACTATTTTCAGCTTCATAATGTCCTTTTACAGCATCGATAATGTTGATTTTTATTCAGTTTATCAACAAAACATCAGTAAATAGCACTATTCCACGTAGCCTGCTTTACTGAGCTGAGGTTTTATTTTCACATTGGGTCAGTTTTGAACACTGACAGTCTCCCTATTCTGTTTACCATGCTACTATGAATATTCACTCTGCAATAGCATGTAGGTGTGGCTTATTCTGAGTTCAGACTGCATGATTCAACCCGGGCTCATTGTGAAAACTTAGCCCCGCGGACGTTTCTGCGGACCACGAGATACGTCCCGGGAGGTACGTATTAGAGCGGTTTTTGTTTTTGCGGATCTGCACCCACGGTGTTCTCGCGCGAAAAGCCACCGGATCAGCCGACCCGGCCGCCCTCCTCTTCCTCCTTCCCTAAACCCAAGCGTTTGCAAAAGCCGTCCAAAAAGAAAAAAAAAGCAAAAGCCCTCGTCTTCGATTTCGACAGCGTTTTCGGATCCCGCCTCGTTCTCGCCCTTATTTTCCGGATTCTGTTTTTCATCTTACCTGATTTCTGGAACCGCTGTTCCCCATACTCGATCCCGGTCGTCATCCCCGCGGCCAGCTCCTCCTCTTCCTCCGGGACCTCCGCTACGTCGACGTAACGCTGTGAGCTAAGCGGACAAACTGGTTGCATCGGGAAAGCCCTCCACTCGGAGGTGAGCCGTCGGCCGGCGAGCGCGAAGAGGAGGAGCGGAGCGGCGCCACAACGCCCCGCAGCGTTCGCTTGAAAAAATCGAGGTCTCCAGAAACGTCCGCGGGGCTACGTTTCCAGAATGAGCTTGGGTTGGGATGATTTTAGCTCAGATTTTGACTCAACGACAGGTTTTGCGAAATCACAGACAAATGCCTGAAATCACTGGCAAATCGGTGCTCGTGCAAGGTGAGTGACAATTACAGGGTATGAACTCTCGAAGACGCAATCTGAGAGAATCGCAGATAAGTCGCCGATGCCTGTGAGATATGTAACGTGATAAATATCTGGAGCTGTCGGCGCTTAAAATCATGTGTGAAACGAATTTTGACTGAAAACTAAATCGGCGATCACCTACAGCCAATGAGAGAGCGGCATTCTCTAGTGTGTCTCTAGTTTTAATGGAGGAAAAACTAGAGGTTTTACAGGAGCACCCATGTCTGTTTGACTTTTCATACAGAAAGTAAAAAAAAAAGTTGAGGAGAAATTGTTAATTCACTTCAAACCCAGGTGAGCAAATATGCACATCTTCTACCCCATTAAAGGCTTCTTTCTCATTATGCAGTTAATAACAAAAGATATACGACGTGTTTTTGGTTGTGAGACGTAGTTTGGATGAAGTTGTCGGTGATTCTTTCTATTGTAAAGTCATGAATGTGAAAGCCCCTGTCTCCAATATAGCCTACAGTGTAAACAAAGCAGCGACAAAACGCAAGCCCAGATAGTCATGCAGTGTGAAAACATCTGTGACACGACTACTTTGAAAATCCTGCAGTCTGAACTCGGCATTAGTAATAAGTGAAATTCCTGCACGCCGCCGGCCAAACACTAACTGCATTTCTAACTGGCGAATGACATGAGCTAATAGGTTGTCTGCTGTCCTGCCTTGGTGCAC